GCTACAACTAAGCTGGAGGGAGGTCCATACCCAGGGTTACTGCAACCACTACCGATTCCAGACCAGGCTTGGAGCCATATCAGCATGGACTTTATTGAAGGACTACCTAAATCTCAGGGAAAAGATGTCATTTTGGTTGTCATTGACAGACTAACTAAGTATGGCCATTTCCTACCCTTATCCCACCCTTATACAGCCTCTACAGTAGCTAGAGTTTTCCTGGAAAATGTATTCAAATTGCATGGGCAACCAACTGACATACTGACTGACAGGGATGTGATTTTCATCAGTGGCTTCTGGAAAGAACTCTTTAAACTCATGGGAACCCATTTAAGTTACACCTCATCTTATCACCCACAAACCGATGGACAAACTGAAAGATTAAATCAATGCTTGGAGTCTTATCTAAGGGCAATGGTGCATCAGAACCCAAAACAATGGTTTCATTGGATATCTATGGCAGAATATTGATACAATACTAATTACCACACCAGTATTAAAACTACCCCATTCGAAGCCCTTTATGGGTACTCTCCTCCTACCTTAGCACTACCCACCCCATCCACGCTAACCAATGTGGGTGTCAAGGAACTCATCACCCTTAGACAAAGAATGAGGCAGGACCTGAAAGAAAACCTCAAATTAGCTCAAGAAAGGATGAGACAGTATGCAGATAGTAACAGAGTGGATAGACAATTTGAAGTAGGGGAGAAGGTTTATTTGAAATTGCAGCCTTATAGGCAACAATCTGTCCAAATGAGGAGGAATCAAAAATTGGCAGCAAGATACTATGGACCATACACCATTATTGAGCGCATAGGTAAGGTAGCATATAAACTAAACTTACCCGATGATGCTAAGATCCACCCAGTGTTCCATGTATCTCTCCTTAAGCGCTGCATTAGTTCAAGGGAAGAAGTTGCGACTACCTTGCCTCCTATTGATAAAGATGGATGCTTTAGCATCTCCACATCATCAATTAAAGAAATCTGCACCGGGTCACGAGGGGAACCACCGGTAACCTTACTCATAGAAAAAGGGCCGACAGGGAAGGTTCGTGAAGGCTGGATGTCAAGAGCTGCTATTAAGAAGCTGCTTCCCAAGATTGATCCTTGGGGACAAGGATCTCAAAAAGGGGGGAGTATTGTTATGGCCGCATCATCTACAGGAGTAAAGGGAAGATGTCATCCTAAAGAAGAAGATAAAGATGAGAGTTTTGACGTTCAAGTGCAGGGATCAGACTATTAATTCGGATAAGGGAGAATGGAGCCAGACAACTAGTTAGGCGTGGCAATTCTAGTGGCCCAGTTGTTTAAATTTCATTAAAACCCAATTATCATGTATCGGCCCATATAATTGATATTACATCACATTACTATAATTGTAAGGAATGGTGGGAACGAAAAGGGCAGAAAATAACAACTAATTTCTCTCTCTTCTGTCTCCTCCCTCAATTTTCCTCTTTCTTGTCTGTTTCTCCTTTCTTGTGCTCTCTCTTCTTTATCCGAAGCCGAGTTTACAACAGTTGGATTATTAGTTTCCATTTTCCCTAATAAATTTCATTTGAATCATACTTTTGAAAAAAATCTCTTATACTTTGGGTATAAATTATTAACTTTACCTCTTTAATTTTGCATCATTTTTGACACTTTGAGCCTGTTTACTTATTTCTCTGTTTTTTATTTTTATTTTCCTTTTTCATTTTCAGATTTTCATATTCACAACGTGAAACACATGTTTTCCATATTTCCTTTATTTTCCGTTTCAATTTTTAAAATCATAATAAAGTAAGTATATACATTCACAAACTGAATACGTAAACAACAACAATAAAATTCAAGCCTTAGTCCCAAAAGATATTGGGGTCGACTAACATGAATCGATACATAATATCACCAACAAATTGAAAAGAAAGAAAAAATAAATAAAAGATAAGCTATTTTTAAAAAGATTATATAAAAAAGAGTTGAATATACCCAAAAAATGATAAAATAAAAAGGATAAAAATAATGTTTATATATATAAGGATAAAAAGATAAAAACATAAGAAGAAAAGATGAGAGGAAGAGATAATATGAAATCACTCCTCCACATGAATAATTGCCCTCCATTTTGCTCTCTCCAAAGCCATACCCAAGAAGAAACATATCACTTCGGAATCCCCTAACCCACGTCTGTTTGGGCCTTCCTCTCTTCTCTGCCACTTCTCCACACATCTCAACTCGCCTGACAGGTGCATCAACCGGTCTTCTACGCACATGACCAAACCACCGTAGGCGCGACTCCCGCATCTTGTCTTCAATAGGTGTTACTCCCACCCTTTGTTTTATTGTCTCATTCCTCACGTGGTCCTTCCTAGTATGCCCACACATCCAACACAGCATACACATCTCTGTCACACTCAGTTTAGTCGGCATACCTCTATCACATAGAAATCCTGACGCACCCTTCCACTTCATCCACTCTGTTCTGATTTTATGGGATACATCTCCATCTAACTCACCGTCCTTCTGAATTATGGAACCCAAGTAACGGAACATATCACTGACCGATATCTCCTTAGCATCTAGAGTAATTCCGTTGTTACCACTGCTTCTACCTCCACCAAACTTGCACTCCATGAACTCTGTCTTGATCCGACTTAGTCTGAAACCCTTGTTCTCCAATGTTTGTCACCATACTTCCAACTTTGCTTTAAGACCTGATTGCGTCTCATCAATCAATACAATATCGTCGGCAAACATCATGCACCACGGTATTTCATCTTGAATTAACTTCGTAAGCTCATCCATGACTATGACAAATAATAAAGGACTCAGGGCCGATCCTTGGTGCATTCCGATAGTAATAGGGAACTCTGCAGTCCTCCCTACACTAGTACGGACACTTGTAGTACAATCCTCATACATATCCATGAATTTCTCGAGGTACCCTATCATAAGCCTTTTCTAAGTCAATGAACACCAAATGCATGTCCTTGTGAGCGTCTCTATACTTCTCCATGAGTTTCCAAACAAGGTGAATGGCCTCAATTGTTGAGCGACCAGGCATAAAACCGAATTGATTTTCTAAAATCGTCACAGTTCTTTGAAGTCTTTGCTTAATCACTCGCTCCCAAAGTTTCATGGTGTGACTCATAAGCTTTATCCCTTGATAGTTGGCACATTCTTGTACATCACCTTTATTCTTGAATAAGCGGATAAGAGTACTCTTCCTCTAACTCATTAGCATCTTGTTGTTTCTCCAAATCATGTTGAAGAAACTTGTTAACCACTAGACGCCTCTCTCTCTCTCTCCCAAACTTCTCCAAGCATCGATTGGTATGCCACCAGGACCCACTGCTTTCTTCCGCCCCATCTTCCTCAGAGCCTCTTTAACTTCCGTTGTTTGGATCCTTCTCACAAAATCACGATTTACCATATAATTTGGTATGTCAAAACACCGACATCTTGCGCTTTGTTCCCGTTGAATAGTGTATCAAAGTATGACCTCCACCTCTCTTTTATCTCCTTGTCCTCCATTAGTACCCTTTGATCGTCATCTTTCACACACTTAACTTTTCCGATATCTTGAATCCTACGGTCACGAAGACGAGCAAATCTATAATTATCTTTTCTCCTTCCTTAGAGTCCAATTTTGCATATAATTCCTTGTTCACTTTTCCTCTTGCTTCTTTTACAGCTTTAATTTCTTTGCTCTTCTTCTAGCCTCCTTGTACTCCTCTATGTTCTCGTCGCTCCAACTTTTGCCCAATTTCTTACAGCATTCTCTTTTGATCCTTATTGCTTGTTTCACCTCATCATTCTACCAATATGTGTTCTTTTTTGGTAATAAACATCTTTTAGATTCTCCAAGTATCTCTTTCGCCACTTTGTTAATGGTGGACTCCATTGATAACGACACATCATCCACATGTGCGTCATTATCAATGGATTATACATCTTCATCCAACATTTTCTGTGCAAAAGTTTGTTGGAGATTCCCCTCGAGCCTCCACCACTTTACGTAAAAATGAAAAAAATTACCTAACACCATTTTTATCATAATTACCTAACCCCATTAAAAAATTAATATTAATTTTTTAATATTAATATGGGTGTATAATTCAAAGTAAATTACTCATAATTAGAAACATTTGAAATAATACAAAACAATTACATGAATGATCATCCACAAACAAAATTTAATAAGTGACATTTTTTAATAAGTGGCTACATTGATACGGGCCTAGTACGGGCCTAGTGGCCTAGTCCATACTAGGCCCATACCATTGCCATAAGCCCAAGTATGGAACTCACTCCTAAAAGATCAGCCTTGCTTATAAGCAACCGACAAAGCCTATACTTGACCGGTGTGGGATCGTTACATATATGTTCTTGAAAAACAAATACACAACACCCAAATACTTCTTTTCTGAAGCCACATGTTTTTTCATGATCTATAGATTAGTCTTAGTATTAGAAAATTCTTTATTTTGGGCAAAGATTATGATACATAAAAGTAAGTTATTAAACACTAAAAACATGAAAATCGATTCTCGTAATTTAACAAATAAAGTATATTAAATACAAAACTTAGTGTAGTATTTCGTATTTTCATTTTGGAAAACACTAATAAGGGAGTTCTCCAACTTAAGAACAAAATCATAAACATGCCTTTATTTCTAAATTTTGGAGAATAAAACGGTAAACATATTTTCCAATTTTCCTTTATCCTGTTTTCATGTTTTCTAAAAAGAAAAAAACATAAAATATTCGAGTTAGTAAATGACCCCTTTGTGTTTAGATGATTGTGACACTTTCAATAGAAGGTCATATAGTTGAACAATTCAAATATATTGACATTTAATAAAGAGCATATGCTATATTATACTACATACGTAGTACTTTTTTTCATTAAATCAAGGGGTAAATTGATTCAATTGTCTTTTCATGGAAAGACCAATTAGTGGGTTCTTTTCTTCGACTCCGATGACTATTTAACGTGCTTCTACGGTAACATAAACATCCTCCACTTAAACTGTAGTACAGGTATTGCCACTTTTTTTACTCCATCCTTCAATCATGGCTGTCTTCTCCTTCCTCATCCTCCTTTTTTCTGCTCTTTCTCTTCTCTCCCGACCTTTCTTATCTGCGGCCAGCCTCCACAGCTCCGCCGGGCTATAAACAGAACACAGCTCATTCCAGAGCATCCTCACAGTGACACCCCAACTACCTACTTCGAGGTCACTAAGCCCATAAAGCTCCCAAAGACCAAACCTTGCTCATACCTTCTTCTCCAACATGATTTCGGAAACACCTACGGGCAGCAGCCCGTTCTTGCGAACTACACCCGCCCTTCGAACTGCCCATCTCAGAACTTCTCCAGAATTGTTCTTGAATGGGAGGCCACGTCTAAAGGCAGGCAATTTGACCGGATCTTCGGGGTCTGGCTCGGTGGGGTTGAGATTCTCCGAAGCTGCACCGCCGAACCTAGAGCGACGGGCATTGTGTGGACAGTTAAGAAGGACATTACTAGGTATTATCCTTTGCTGATGAGTAGTGATCAGATTCTTGCTGTTTATTTGGGCAACCTTGTTGATAGTACTTATACTGGTGTTTATCATGTGAAAATCAAGATTCATTTTTACCCATATGAAGAAAAGTCTAGTTTTTATTCTGGGGTTGCTGATTTAATACTTCCAGTTTCAAGAAACTTGCCATTGAATGATGGGTTATGGTTTGAGATTCAGAATTCAACAGATATCTCCTCAGAGGAGGTCAAGATTCCTCAAAATGCATATAGGGCTGTATTGGAGGTTTATGTGTCATTCCATGAAAATGATGAGTTTTGGTATTCAAATCCTCCTAATGATTTCATAGCTGCAAATAACCTTACTGATGTTTTCCCTGGAAATGGTTCTTTTAGAGAAGTTCTTGTCAGTTTGGATGGTAAAGTAGTAGGAGCTATTTGGCCCTTCACTGTGATTTACACAGGAGGCATAAATCCTCTCTTGTGGAGACCCATTACTGGAATAGGTTCATTTGATCTCCCTTCATATGACATTGAGATAACTCCCATGTTAGGGCTAATGTTGGATGGGAAGAGTCATAAGATCTCATTCAGTGTCACAAATGCATTGAATGTTTGGTATATTGATGCAAACTTGCATCTTTGGTTGGATGGTGACAGTAAAAAAACAGAAGGGAAGCTCATAGAACACAAAAGCTTCCCTCTTTCTTTGTCTCTAGAGTCAAACTTCACTGGCTTAAACGGTTCTTTCTTGACAGAGTCTAATCGGACCATACAGTTGACAGGATGGCTGAATTCATCTTATGGAGTAATTCATACCAAAACAGTTCAAAATTTCAAGTATGCCAATTTTATGGTTATAGGGAATGAAGGGAATATGCAGATGGTAAACCAGACAATTCATTTCCGGGATGCTGTCTATTCCAAAATGTCATCTTCTTCAAGTCATTCCTTGAAATCTGCTAAGAAATTCTATGTGTCTTTGAATTCAGATAGCATAGATCAAGGAAATAAAACTTTTACTTCTGTGGCAAATCTGACATTGGGATTCAATGAAAAAACGATCAAATCTTTGGGTTCAAGATTATCCAAAACTTCTCTCAAGAATTTACAAAAGGGGAATGGATCCTTGCTGGTAAAGGACAGCTCGGTTGTGAATGGATTGGCGAGTACCAAACAAGCATACCATTATAGTGAAGATTCTTTCCGCTACTCCAGAAATGTTGGCAGCTCAAACTACACTATTCTCTATGACAAACAAAAATATGCTTGAAATTGATGAGATTTTTGTGTTTTTCAAATATACGATAGTATGTTTTTATTTACAAATATTTCTGGCTACAACCTTCCCCTCAAGTGAAGGGCGGGTTTCGGAAAGATAACATGGAATTTTGATTATACTAGAATTACATTACATACTTTGGAGTATAAGAGGAACAATGCTAACATTTGATACTATTCCTGTAAAATTTCCCTATATATAGTGTGTCATAATAATACGAATTATTATTTGATAAAAAAAATATGAATTATTATGTTGTACTCTGTAGTCCGTATACTATTATCATTGTTGTTTTATGAATTATTATTATGGGTATTTGTCGATGTATACTCGATGTATGAATTATTATTATAACAATTCCCAACGTATTCAAATAACTGGCCCAAATAAAAGATTCAGAAATATTTCATGATTTTTGTGGCAACATTGAAACACTAGGACAGAAGTAATAATGTTTTTATGATTTAATTATTATCATTACTATTATTATCATTATGGTAATTATTATTACTAGTACTTTATTGTTAGTATATGTGTATATTGCCTATTATGTTTTATTAGTTCATTATATATTGTGGTTGGTGTTAATTATTACTATAGTGATCTTATGTCTTAATTACAGGTTTTAGGATATATTGATTATGTTATTTTGGTTTAGTTGAGTTACAGTCTACATTAGTGATCTAACGTCTTAATCATAAGTCATGATTGTCTACTTCTCTTTTTAGGTGGTGTAATTGAATTTCCACCTAAGTTGACAAATTTTTAATATATGCCTTAAGTTTAGCTGTTTAGGTAATGATAATTGTAGCCTTTTCTTTTTAGATGGCGTAATTGAACTCTCTTTGAATTGTCCAATAATTCCAATTTTATGTATTTTATGTATTATTAAGAGTTGGTAATGATTGTAGTTATTATCTTTGTGATTTTTTCAAATATGATAGATGGACCTTGTGGGTTGTTTCTTCGAGAGTCATGAATGACAAAGGGTACGTGATATCTTGTTTTTGCATCCAATCGATGGGTGTTCTTTTTTTTTTTTTGTAAGGAAGAACACTTATCTATTAATAATAATGAAAGTGACATGAGACAAAACAAACCAATAACTTAAAGCTACTCTGGGGTTAGATATAGAATTGATTAGTCTATGAGGATTTGACAAGTTCACTAACCCCGCATCATTGTAGGCTAATTAGCAGCATCACTGCACTTGTTATTAAAATAAATGGATAAAAAACTAGAGTTATTAAATTGAAAAGAACAAATAGAATCAAAACACCTGGTTTTACCTGCCAAAGATGTCATTCCGATTTGACCAGTCATCGGGAATGGAGAAGAGGTTTGTCCAGCCACCTTCAAAGAAAGCTTCCCACTCGCATTAAATAATAGAATTCTAGGCGATGTTGATTCAGTAGCTCCGCTGCAGAGCCGTTTTCTGGGTCGGTTCCATCTACCTCCATACTAACTTCAACTGCCACCAGATTTTGCAAATCTACCGCCCTGCGTTTCCTGGATTCTCCTTCATTGAGAACTCTATCATGGTTGTACTCCTCTTGCTCTCCCACTTTTTCTTATTTTCCCATTGAGATCAGCCCCTAAACCAAATAGCATCCCACGTATGAATCCTATCAGCTGACTCTGTCTTTGATTGTCATCTCTGGTATTTTTCAGCTCACGCCCTGCTAGCAGGATTAACCACTTATTTCTCGGGTAAGTTCCTCCCCGACGCAAATCTGCCCGCATTCAGGACCATAAGGCTTGTCACCCACCCACGGCCACGCACTAATGTTTGATTGGCAATATCTGTTAGTGTGCCCCAGAACTCCACAAATAAAACAGAGATTTGGAAGCATCTCATATTTGAAATACGCCCAGAAGCAGCTATCCCCTTCTTCCTAACCTGTGTTCTTCTCCTTAGAGCATTCTGTATGTCTAGTAGAGCACAGATGCGCACATATTCCTTCCTTTCCCCGTTCAGGGTTCTTTCATCAATCTGTATCAATTTCTCTATCTATCGTCCAATACCAATCGTCATTGTCTCAGTCATAAAGCTTAGGGGTAAATTATGGATCTAAACCCAAAATTCCGTTTGATTCAGCTCAACCTCAAGTGATATGTCCTTAGCTTCCACCCTTTTAATAACAATTAAATTTTGGTCATAGGACCACGGGCCATCCTGAAAAACCCGTGCAATATCGTTTTCATGATAGAACTAAATCATAAACTGCCTATCTCCAATATGTTCAATGTTCACCACTTTACTCAGATGCCAGATCATCGCCATTGTCTCCCGAAAGGAGATGGGACTGACGGGTTTGTCCGTGACAACCCTAGGAACAACAGAGAATGATGGGTTCTCTCCCACCATGCTACTAACATTTAGCACTCCAGATTCAAACACCAGACCACTATTTTTTTCCTCCTCAATCGACATCTTTCCATATTTTTCAACTATATTCTCCATTGAGAAAAAACAGGCCACACAAAACAACGGACTGCTCAAAACTAATGACACAAAAACTGCTCAAAACCCAAACGTTTACGGTCAAAAACACAGAACAAATCTCGTCCAGGGCACAACCAATCGAAAAACACCGAGCAAAAAACATAGCAACTCTGACCAGAAAACCTTACCTCCACGCGCTAGGGTTTAAGTAATCCGCGAATCAATGGATGTTCTTGAAAATCAAATCGTAAAATGTAAGATTTTACATAACATATATTAGTAATTATATTAGTAATTAGAAAATATATAAATATAAAAAACAAACATATAAATTAATAATAAGCCATTTCATAACTCAAGAATTTAACAATTTATAAACAATTGTTATAGTGTAAGTAATAAGTATTAAACATATGTAAAATGAAAAATAATTAAATGATAACAGTATCTATTACTTTCATTAATTATTATATATGTTATTAATTAGTAGTGGAATTTGATATCAAAATCTCATAGCTAAAATCAATAATTTTGATCCTTTTTCACTAAAAAAGCATCTTTACGATTTTGTTACAATTTTGTTACAATTCTGAATGATATTTTACCGTTGTACCACAATTTTGTATGATTTCTTGTGATAAAAACTGATTTGTTAGTTTAGAATCATAAAATCATTTAATTATATGATTTGAACCGAGATTCTAACAACCTTACAAGTCAACATATATTGTTGCCTAAAAATAGCATATTAGGTAGGGAAGCGAACATTTGTCTCGACATCCCGCTCAAACTGAATCATAGTGAGCACTAGTGATGGAAGGATAAGGCGAGGACTGAAGCATCACACCACGACATCAAAGGGAAGATGTAATGTAAATACTTGAAATCCAAAAAGTGTGAAATATGAGGGCACACATGAATTGAGAAATCAAATGAACGATATAAGTAATATCAAGACATTGTAATCAAATATTCTAAAGCAACTGCCATATTCATGTACTCAATATAATGAATATGAAGTTCACCGTGTGAGAGAGAGTGATTCTAGAAGGGGTGTGTACATCTCTCAATACATGCAAACAAAATTATTTTAATAAATATATGTGTGGCCTGAACCCCTAAAATATAGTGATCATCGAGATAAACAAAGGTACTTTGTTTCACACCATAAATTGCCCTGCATAGGAGACAAGCATGAGTGAGAAATTGTGTATGAACACTTCTACTCGAGTGATGCATATGAACCTCCTATTTCAAAAAGTCGTATTGTAGGGCATATTTAACATCAAGTTGATGAATTGCCCAATTAGGCGAAAGAGATAAAGTAAAACCAATTCTCACAAACTGATGGGTTTGATCACCAGATTATTGAAGATTTCCTGAAAAATGAACACATGCATGTTGTAAAAAATCAAACTTGTGCAATTATAAGAGTCTTACTAGTATATGACATTCAATCGACTCATCAAGATGGACATTTGTGTTTTAGGTTCATTAAGATCAAACAACATTTATTATGTGCACACAACTTTGAGATTGATTTGGAACATGAGAAATTGATTTTAAATGAATAATCCGATTAAGAAAGTTTAATACAATACCACCAATACTAAAAATACATAATGTATACAGACAGGGCCATTTGCAACCTGAACATGAAAGTGGCTATGTTGTAAAAACTGGACCAGAGAGTGACCCGGCCACATGACTGGGTCACGGGTCAACCCGGACCCGGTGGGTCAACCCGGTCAACGCCGGAAAACCGGTCAATGATTATACGTCTATATAATAATAGTAAACATATAATTATATATGAAATTATAATAAAAATTAGTTATTATTCATAATAATCAACTAACAATACTACTTATTAAGCCTTTAATACACTCTTATAATATTTCAATGTATATTTTGATCTTATAAAAATATATAATGATATTTTTATTTTTATTGTACATCTATATTATTATTTGGCATGATGTTCATTCTTAAATAAATATATAAATATATTACGTAGTTTTTCTTTTTAAGGTATTGAAATTGCAATTTTATTGGTATAAAAAATGCATTAAAAATAAAAAAGAAATTACTTTTTTTGGTAAAACACCCAAAAACTGGGTTTTACCGGGTTTTTCGTGTTTCTTGGGTCCGGATCTTGACCGGGTTTTCCCGGGTCAGCCGAGTTTTTCCGGTTTTTGACCATTTCCGGGTTTTGAAAAAACCGAACCGGTTTTTTGTCCAAGTCACCGGGTTCCGGGTCAACCCGCCGGCCGCGTCGGGTCGGGTCGGTTTTTTAAACATAGGAAAGTGGTCGGAATAATGGGATTAATGAGATAAAATATAATCATTGAGTGTTAGGTGAGTACCAAATTGATAGTCACAAGGCAAGAGAAGATAGTTGAATATAGAGTAGTAGATCAGAAGATACTAGACAAATTGAATCTTTTTGTTAAATATTATTTCTATATTGTCTGTGGGATTTCAATTTAATTTAACTATTTAAGCCAATGGTTTTGAACACATGAATCAAAACTAGAAATTGGATACGTTAAATTTTTTGATCATAGAGAAGGTGACATATATTAAATAATCATAATTTGAGCAAGTAACCAAACAATAAAAAGTCTCCTCCCAATAGCCACCCTTCGAATCAGACTCAGGGAAAATTACCTTACAAAAAGCAATATGACTCGTTGATCAAAAAAGATTTTTCATCATCAAACCCAAACTCCATAGTTTGACAGAAGTAAAACAAAAACACAACCAACATAACATCCTGACCAACCCAAAAAATTTTGAAAAAAAAAAAGCCAAAACTAGTAGAGGTAAGCTATTTCTGATCCTCAGAA